CCCCCCCCCCCCCTCCCCCCGCCTTCCCCGCACACAAGTGCTTTCTTCTGCTGCATTTCTCGTGGTACGTTTTCCGCCGCCGGTGCCAATGGTTTCTCCGCCCCACTGCACGACAACGCATGATTGATGGTGACAGGAGCCGAGGTTGTGAGTGCGGAGACGCTTGAAAACCTGCGCGCTTTGCTTGGCGCGGCGGAGGGGCCGGGAGGAGGGGACAGCGCCGTGTGGACGGTAAGGCTGCTACCAAACGACTATTGGTTCCACGCTTGTTTCGTCGCTCAGAAAACCATGCTCTGGATGGTTCCCAGCCATCGTTCTTCTACTTCGTACCGCTGAGTAAGCATCTTTACCTGGAAAAAGGCCGTAACAACATGTCTGCGTTTCTGATTCTCGAATGTACGAAACGGTTCCAGCTACAGCACAAGCAAAACATACTGCATGCTTTGTGCAAGGGTGCAAGTTTTGCTGTGCTCCCAGAAATGACTTTGATTGTAGCATGTAGCACGTGCGCAGATACGGATACCGTCAGTTTCGCGGGCAAACACGGTAGCTGTTTACCCACATCCAATCACTTCGTTCCTCTCTCTGTCGTTTGTGTGCGATATGTTTTCTTGCTGTTTCCAGGCCCTTCGCACCGTGTGCGAAGCGGAACTGTCCCAGGTGCGGCCCGACGCGCAGGGTGCGGCCGGCGACGCCGGGAGGACCGTGCGCGAGCGATTGGCGTCGGCGTTCAGGAGAGAGAAGGCTAGGTGAGTCAAGGCAGCAAGTCCGGATCTTCGTGGTCGTCGTGTGGCGGGGGGTTTCAACATGCTGTTTCCCCGTCGAGAATTCTACCTGTTCGTTGCGGGCCGTTGGGTAGGTTGTGGCGGCTGTGCGTATGTTTTTAGGTGTTGTTTCTCCAGGTGTACCTTGTCCATGTGCGAGTGTCATAAACGCCTGTACTCGAGAAAAACGTGGAAGACGTACTCTAGAAGCGAAGAGGCAGAGAGAGAGAGAGAGAGAGAGAGAGAGAGAGAGAGAGAGAGAGAGAGAGAGAGAGAGAGAGAG